GGGGGGTGGGGGCGCTCTGGAGCCGTCATGGTGCCCCCCCTTGTGCCAGGACCCGCTGCTGGGGCTGCTGGACCCCCGGGAGGATCTGGAGAAGGAGGAGGGCCGGGCTGAGGCTGAGGCTGTGTATGAGACCTGCTGCCGCTGGGAGGCCTGTGCCCGCGATCTCGACACCCAGGAGCAGCTTGTCCACGTGAGCCCCCCACCCTGTGGTGCCCCCTGGCCCCCCAGCCTGGCAGTGCCCATCACTCCTGACCCACAGCCCCTGCTTTCCCCTCTCTTGCCGCTGCCCCCCACTCCCAACCTGCAGCCCCTGCCCCACCAGCCCTGCCTCTGCCCCTCACTTCATACCTGCAGCCCCCTGCCCACCCTCCCTGGGTTTGGAAGCCCATGAATCGGCCCGTCCTGCAGAGCAGCTGGGCTGAGACCTGCCAAACTCGCTTCACCTGTGACCTGAGCCTGCCCATCCCCTGCTCGGGGATCCCCGTGTCTCCCATCCCACTGCTCCCTGACCCCTGGCTACAGCTCCCTGACCCCCCACCCCCCATCTCCCCCTGAAGCACATCAATAACGAGCACATCCACGGGGAGAAGAAGGAGTTCGTGTGCCACTGGCTGGCCTGCTCACGGGAGCGCCGCCCCTTTAAGGCCCAGTACATGCTTGTGGTGCACATGCGGCGGCACACTGGAGAGAAGCCCCACAAATGCACGGTGAGGCAGGGCTGGGTGTGGCGGGGGCATGGGGCTGGCAGGTGGAGGGTAGGTGACCATGGCAGGGGCATGGCAGTATGGTGGTGTGACAGTAGTGTAGCCATGGCATGATAGTGGAGTAGCTGTGGTGTGACTGGCATGGCCATGGCGTGATGGTGGTGTGACCATGGTGTGACTCGTGTGTCTGTAACGTGATGGTAGCATAACCATGATATGGCCATGGCATGATGGTGATGTGGTGACTGTGGCATGGCCATGGCGTGATGATGGTGTGACCATGGTGTGGCCACGGCGTGATGGTGCTGTGGTGGTGGAAGTGTGACTGTGGCTTGACTGGTGTGGCCACAGGGTGATGCTGGCATGGCGGCAGCACGGGCATGGCTTGCACAGGGCAGATGGGTGACATGGCGATGGCGTGGTGGGACAGTGGCACATGGGCAACATGGGCAGGTGCTGACGCAGTGCCGTGCAGTTCGAAGGCTGCCACAAGGCCTACTCACGCCTGGAGAACCTCAAGACCCACCTGCGCTCGCACACGGGCGAGAAGCCGTACGTGTGCGAGCACGAGGGCTGCAGCAAGGCCTTCTCCAACGCCTCCGACCGTGCCAAGCACCAGAACCGTACCCACTCCAATGAGGTAACCCTGCCCAGGCCCCCCTGCCCACCTTCTCCCAGATA